TCTCTTCTCTCTATCCCTTCCCTTCATGTTCAGATGCATGAGAAGTGTGTCCCTAATCAGATTTGTGTCTCTGGTTTTAATCTGCCCTCACATCACAGGAGCTGGTCTTTCTGTACAAACACGTCACTGCACCAGGACAACATCAGAGCAGGAAGTTTTTCATGTATTTCACTGTGGGTTATGAACTGTAAATCAATGTATCAGAGCTATCGGTGAACCTTAGGCTTATGACCATGCTCTTAGCTGTAGACAGTGTAGGCTTGGTACAGAAAACAGAAAATATTAAGAAGATATAATTGATTATTTGCAGCGATGTCATGTTGGGGGATGTTCTACATGTATGTCTATGGTAAATGTTCAGCAGTTATGTTGATAAAATGTACACTAGGGGTGTGCAAAAATATCAATATATCGTATCGTTCGATGTGGTGATACAGTATTGGTATTGTAGACTGCTGTATCGATATATCGCCAAGAGTATTTTTTTGGTACATTTTACCAAATTATTTTTGTTACAGTGCTACAGTTTTGTTGCTTCTACAGAGGAAGGGCACACATTTCACATTTTCACAGTTTTGATGATTAAAATGGATGTGTTTTATATTCACTTTGCACAAGAAGTGGTTTATCAAAAACGTATCACAGCTATGATTTAGCCTTTATTTTTAATTGAACCATATCGAATTGATTTCAAATATATCATATCAAATCGAAAGCTCACTGTATTGATATATTTATTGTACCATGGCTTATGTATTAAGGTATGTATCATATTGGCAATTTCTTGGTGATACCCAGCCTTAATGCACACATTTGCAAACTTTGTCAAAAATGTTTTAAGATCATCTTTAAAAAAAAAAATCAAGAAAACAAAATGGATTTAAACTACATTTTCAGGAGGATGCAAGCGTTCATTGTCCTGTTTAGGTGTTTTTTTAATAAAAAGTTGAGAGTGGCTAAAGGCCGCCACACACAGAATTTGTCTGATTTTGGCTGTGATTTCTTCTCCCCAAGTTCTGGAAGGCCTGACCTGACTTTTTGTCTTCGTGTGTGATTTTGAAGCCACTGCGCTCCACATGTGTGGTATCAGTGTGACTCTGAGCTGCTCTGTCAGATCATAATCACATCAGCAAAGCTACGATAACAACCAATAAAACAGAGCATGAGCGGTAGACACAGTGATGGACACAGATGTTCAAGATACAAACTTGGGATATTGCAAAAATAAAAAGACTTTATTACTCATCTTTCGTAAAGTGGTAAATTTAAAGTGCAGCATCTCATCCATATTATCCATAGAAATTGTCCTCTGCAAATAATGAAATCCAGTCCAAAAAATCGTGCTATTAATCCAGTTTGAGATGTTATTTGTAAGTAAAAAGTAGCTCCTCACGTGTGTCAGTTTACAGCCACACAGCGCACGGATCAATTGTTCTTTATTGACAGTTTTTATGCTTTAAAAATCATGTATCTGAAGTTCTGCACCACATTTCACAAATAATAACACAGTTTTGACTTGTATCTAAAACAGAAGTGCAGAGCTCTGATCTTTTGAACACTTGTGGTTGCAGACATATCCTGCTGAAGTGTTTGCGATCAGAGATTCTCCTCGTGTCTGTGGTGTGTGCTTTTTGTCGCACATTTAAAAATCACTTAAGTCCGAAAAATCATGTAGTGTGTGGTGGCCTTGACTGAAAAACTGTTGGTTAATGCTGTTTGAGAGGATCTTGTTTAACAGCGCAAATCAGTTCACCTTTTGTAGTTCCATCTAAATCAGTTCTTTCTGGTCGGATTGTGTTAAAGATTAAAATCTAATTTGGGTAACAGAGCTTCAGTCAGAGCTTACAGTTAGCATCACACCCCTAGGAAATATTGATGAAAGCAACTGCAAAATATCAATAGGTCACATTCATGTTCTAGAATTTGGTGATTTCCTAATTTCAGATGGAGGGAATGAAGGTTATACAACTCTATGTATGGCTGAACAATTTGAGAAAACTATCTAATTGAGACTTTTCTAACAAGAATTGCAGTTATGGTTAGATATGTTGGGATCTGAACTGACAAACTAATACAAGAATCACATTTCAGGACATGTTTGTACAGATCTAAACTACAGGGATATCAGTTTTTATGCAGAATAAGACAGGGCATTTTGTTGTTTTTGGAGGAAATTCTGATACGTTAAAAATACATGCATCATGAATTTAGGACTTCCGGTCATTCTGCAATGCATACTGGGAAGGATTTTCCAAAAAAGTGAGCATCAAACCGCCATGGTTGTTTTCCCAGTAGGATGTGTCTATTGACAAAGCCAGTGTTTTCTAGTCTTTTGAACCGTATCACTTTTGTTTCTGGTTCTGATATTGTCATATTTTAGTTTTGGGATTTGGACATCGTAATTTTGTGGTTGTTGGATGTCCTAATAGCAGAAAACAGCTCGAGAAATTTGTTTGCAAACATAAATGCAAAAGTGAAATAGATCTGTGTGACTACAAACCTCTGTTCAAACTGTTTCCTTTCCCAACGGAATTGAAAAATCGTGAAAGGCGAAGGCGATGAGCAGTATTGGTTCCCAGGAAAGACCAAAAAGGTAAACTTTGACTGCCTAAATCATCCCGAGTTTGCAGCAAACATCAAAGCAAAATCATGATCCCTCGCTCAGCCTCGGTTACGAATTTAAAAAGTCAACACTAAAGCGAAAGGCACCAGCTGTTCGCCAAGAAACACCTTCCACTGCAAACTGACCAAGACGTAATGTTGCTGTAAAACCACAAGAACAAGAAAGTGCGAGCTTGGCCTGTTTGTCTTCTGCACCTCTCACTTAACAAACGGGATCCCGCTTTGATGGGGCTCCACATACAACATGTTCGCTGCAAGCTCAGGATGATTTCTTACGCAGTCAAAGGTTTCCTTTTTCGTCCTTCCTGTGGATCAATACTGCCCATCACCTTCACCTTTCACTATTTTTCAATTCTGTTGGGAAGGGAAACAGTTTGAACAGAGGTTTGCAGTCACACAGATTTGATTCCTTTTTGCATATATGGAGTTCGCAAACTTCCGAAGCTCATTTCTCGAGCTGTTTTCTGCTGTTAGGACATCCAACAAATACACAATTATGATGTCCGAATCCCAAAACTAAAATATGACAATATCAGAACCAGAAACAAAAGAGATATGGTTCAAAAGACTAGAAAAGATCAGCTTTGACAATAGATTCATCCCACCGGGAAAACAAACATGGCGGTTTGAAGCTCACTTTTTCATAAAATCCTTCCCAGTATGCACTGTGCAATGACTGGAAGTCTGAAATTTGTGATGCATGTATTGCAGCCTTTCCAGTTTGTGATTTGCTAATTGCATCCGTTCAAATTGTGATTTTCAGTCCATCGCACATCATCATATTCAATCACAGTTGATCCTGCAGGCCTATTATAAGCACTAGTAGACCAACTGTTTATTCGCTTGTATTTTTAAAGGTTTTCTGTGCTACATAAATCAAGTGCATTGGTTTTGTCCTGCAGTTCAAAATTTTCAAAACACGTAAAACAAATTACTTTGGCTTGTGATTACATGACCCTTTTCCGCCTGTCTTCTCAGCTTCAGTTGTGGTCCAGTTACAATAACATACTCGAATTGGCCTTGTTTTTGTTTTGGAACAGAAAGCTATTAAAAAAAAATAAAAATAAAAATAATTTGAACCGCTATGTACTATACTCTTTTACCCTGATGAAACTGTGGTCACATTAAAGTCGGTATAGATTAAGTCAAAACAGTATAATTTAAAGGGCTCATATTACTCCATTTTCTGATCTATGTTAAAATGCACGAAATGTTACACTTTGTTTTTAAAATCCATACACCTTCATTTGAATCATTTGGATAACTTCAGTCCTGGCATTTCCAATCTACTGAACAAAAGGTAAAAGGTAGCTATTAACCTGAAAAGTCCTGCTTCATGACATCTGGTGGAACAGAGCATTTTGAACTTTGGAGATGTAGACAGACTAATAATAAAGGGTTGTTCAAACATGTGTGAACGAAAGAACACACAACTCCAGGTATGTTTTTGAGGAGGAACAAGATTCTAACACTGCTTGTTGTTGACAAGAGGTAATTTTGTGTAATTGGACCTTTAATTTACTTTGTAGTGAAAACTAGTGTGGGTAGATTAATCACAATCAAGTCACTATTACAAAAGCTGCAATTATTTAGATAGTGTAATATCTGTTTTTTTTTTTTTTTTTTTTTTTTTTTTTATTGATAAATATCTTGTCCCTTCTACAAACATATCATGAAATGCATGGGATTCTTGTATTATTTTATCAGTTCAGATTTCAATCTTCTCTCAAATGTTCATACTGTTGGAGCTGCTTAAAATGTGCAGAGTGAACATAATTCTACTTTTTAAACCAAAAAAAACAACAGTTATGAGTTCGAGATGCATGCACGTGTACATTAAGGAGTTTTTTTCATCTTTTTTTTGCATACTGAAGTCAAAAACTACTTCACTACTTTGTTATTTGTTGTTGTTGTTTTTTTGTTTTGTTTTTTTCATTTTTCAAGAAAATTCCCTGTCTCACTCCTCATAACCTGAGGAAGGTCTGAGGGACCAAAATGTCGTATCAATAAAAGAAAAACTAGGAGTGAGACTGTGTGCAGGAGTTTTCTTGAGAACAACTAAGTGCCTTTCTTCCAACACACTTGTCGGCCAGTCAGGTGTGCGGAGTCTAGTCAGAAACTAGTACTTTTTTTTTCCCACCCATAACACCCACAACAACAGCATATATTAGATGCGATTAGATAGATTAGATAGATACTTTATTATCCTGAAGGAATTATGGCCCACCCACATTCTCATTGCCTCGGAGTGCACTTGCTGCAGCATAAAGTGTTTTTCAGTATTATAATTTATAACAGTGTTTATGGTAGCAGCAATAAATCTCACTTCAAAACATGTTCAGTATCCTCAGTATCCTCTGTGTTTCCTCTCTCGTCAGATTCGATAACCCGGCCGCAGTCAGCCCTACCCCTTCTCGACAGCTCACCTTTAACTACCTTCTCCCGGTGAACGCGTGGCTCCTCCTCTTCCCCTCAGAGCTCTGTTGTGATTGGACCATGGGCACCATCCCTCTGGTCGAGTCCATACTGGACCCTCGAAACCTGGCCACACTGCTGTTCTACGCCTCTCTGGGGCTCCTGGCTCTCCACAGCCTCCGCTACAGGCACAGCTCTGCCAAAACCGTCATCATGGTAAGATGCGTTGTAACAAAACTAATTCAAATCTAAAACTAATTTGATTTTTATATTAAGGAAAGACCCAATTGCAGTGGCATCATGATGTATCTCTATGGCGGAATGGTTATCAGTTTTGGTAAACAGCCAAAAAAGTTTAAAGACAAGTCAGAAAATTCAAAAACTCAAAAAAACCAAACAAAAAAAAAAAAAAACTGGGCTTCAAAAAGAACAATCCCTTCAGTTAGCATCACCCCCAGGGAATAGCAAAAGTAGAAACTGAATTTGTCAACTAGACAAAACTTTATTTTGGTTGAATATGTTTCGCATCTCATCCAAGCTGCTTCTTCAGTTCTGTTCAAAATCTTAGTGGACACTTCCTTATATCTGCCTGCAAAGAATAAGATCCCATGGAGGCACATGGAGGCACTTTGTTCTCAAGAGGACATTTTATTACCTAAATAACTGCAGTCTTTGTGAGTGCGTCCCTATTAACATTTCATGTGGTGTAGTTGGACTTGGTTGGAGCAGAGAAGGCCTAAAAGCATGATCTCATTAAGAAATCTTCCTTAAATGGTTTTGCTCTTTCATATTGGCCCAAGTTCAGTCATTTCAAACCAATTCCTCATGTTCCGACATGTTGTAGGTACCATTCGGACATTAAATCATGTGAAGATGAAATGCATCTATTATAGCGGGTGGAATATTCATAAAGCAATATTGTTGTTTGAAATAATTTGAAATCTCACGCCATTTTAAGCTGTTCCTCATGTTGAAAGACTCATTTCTGACCATGAGAAAAAGCCTGGTCTAAAATCATCACCTTTTCAACATTAAGCTTATTGAAAATTTTTGTAATAGCTTAAGTGTGTTGGTATTTCCTTGGTAATTAAGATGTTAGTACCAACAGTATTATTCCAGTTTTGAGGTAAACATTACAAGTGCATTCTCAAATTTGATCTAACAATAAACCAAGATCCACCAGAAAACTGAAATTCTCAAAATGATTGATTGCAATTTTCTATTTAATTTGATTTGGACTTTGGAAACAAATTAAATTGCTTCAAATATAAATTTCTATGACATACTCAACACAGATGATATAAAACAGACTTTTCGGAGCTTTGTTTCATGTTATAACGTTGTTCCTTCATCAAAAACATGCCTGAAGAGGTTTTAGATGTCATCGATGTATGTTTGAGCAATCTCTCCTTGGTCTTATTCAAACCTTATGGTAAGTTGTACAATTCTGTCCAATACTCATCCCACAAGCCAACATCATCCATGCTCCCGCAAGAACAATTCTCCATAAATATTCAAAAGTAGGATACAAAACAATACACTACAACTTCACAGACCTGATCTGATGTGCAGTTTCATTGGCATGTGGCACACTGACTGTGTTGTCGTGGGGAGCAAAGGGAGGAGGGCATGGGTGACCTATAAAACTCTTCAGGCATGTTTTTGATGAGGGAGCAATGTTATAACATAGGAGAAAACTCTAAAAAGTTGATTTTTAACCTGCTTCATCATAACATCAAGACTTTCTACAACTGTTTGTTGAATGCCTCCCTGCTATTGACTCCCTTTTATGCAGCTCCCTGTCAAATAAAGTGTTAAAAAATCAGTTTGAATAATGCAGACCCAACAAATGTTGTGTATTGTGTAAGGCTCTGACAGAGGAGGCCAGTGAACCATGGTCTTTGGGGGATAGCGGACACACATGTGAGTGGATTAATGAAGGCCTGACTGATCCTGAGCTGTGGTGGCTGCTGCTGTTGTGTAAGTTTAAAGCTACACCAGGACAGAGCTGTTCTCAGGAGACCACCACTGTCCAGGGTTATGCAACAAAGAGTACAACTGTACAAAAGTACAACTGTGGTCATGTCAGAGGTCCTCCAACACTAGATTACTCAAACATGAATGAATCACTCAAACTACAACTCAGTGTAAGATAATGATGAGTGAGAACAATATATTTTTTGAACATTCATTTTCTCTTATGGGCCTTTCTCTATGGGTGGTTGAACTTTTGACTTTCATCAGAGGTGTCCCCTAGGGTTTGACGTGTCTCAGCTTTACAGCGGGAGTATTTTAGTATTTTACGTCTGTGTGGTATTAACGTTAAACACATAATATATTTAGATCACCATGTTATCTTTTATTGTTTTGATGATACAATATTCACAGAAAAAAAACATAATAACATGTTTGTTGTCTTTGATGCTTTGAGACCCCAGTCAGATCGCTTGTTCTCACTAAGTCAGCTCTTTCTGGTCAGATTGTGTTCAAATAAAGCTCAGATTAAAGTCAACAGATGGGGCCTACTGTTAGCATCACACCTCCAAGGATGTTGATGACATGAGCTGCAAAGTATCAATATAAGATGGTTATGGTTCTTAAAAGTCGATTTAGTTTACCTATACATCCCCTTTAAACACAAACTTGGATAACTAAACCCTGTAACTGTTTGTGCTCTGCTGTGCCCCCTTTAGGCCCTGTCCCTGATGGTGCTGCCCTTCATCCCTGCCTCAAACCTCTTCTTCCCGGTGGGCTTCGTGGTGGCTGAGAGGGTCCTGTATGTCCCCAGTATGGGCTTCTGTGTCCTGGTCGCTCATGGCTTCAAGATCCTCTCACATAAAGGGTTAGGCCCCTTTTCTGTTTTAAATATGTGTGTTAATCTACTGTGCTGCTAATTGCATTGATGTCAACAAACGGATAAATCTAATAAATAGGAATCGTTCAGCAAGGATTATTTTACAGCTATTATAGATATCTGTAAATCTTGCTGCTGTGGCTGATCACCAATATTTATATATATATGATACACATATCATTATTGTCTTGCGAAATCTGAACTCAAACCACAGATGAAGATACACAGAGAATTACACCAGGCTTAGACTGCACCTGGCACAGCTGCGACTGCTCTGTTTAACCTAATCATGTGTTAAGTACAAAGGCCTGTGGAGGGCTCTGGTGTCCAGCTAAAATCGACTCCAAAAACAGAAAGAATCCAGAGCACAGCAGCACCTGTTCTCTTAGGACAGTCTCTGCTTCTCCCCTTACGGTTCATTATTTGTATTTCTTGCAGCCCTTGTACTGAAGCTGCACTGCATTCAGACTGAGCTTGAGGTTAGCTGCTGACCTCTTCATAAAAAAGACCCATTCAAGATTGGATCTCTATTTGATTAAAATTCCATTATTCCCACCACACTATTACAATTCTTGTTCTACACACGATTATATTCCCTTGACACATTGTCCATTTTCACTAAGCCTCCTTTCTCTCCTTTATGACAGGATCCTGAAAAGGTTTTCTTGGTTCCTGATGGTTCTTCTGCTCACAACTCATGCAGTGAAGACCTTCCACAGGAACTGGGACTGGGAGTCTGAATACACTCTGTTCACTGCAGCTCTAAAGGTGAAGTCTGACTCTGCTCCTCTGCCTCTGCTCCATCTTGCTTCTCTGTCTCTGCTCCTCTGGCTCTGCTCTGTCTCTGCTCCTCTGCCTCTGCTCCTCTGTCTCTGCTCCATCTCTGCTCTGCTCTCTGCTCTCTCTGCTCCTCTGTCTCTGCTCCTCTGTCTCTGCTCCTCTGGCTCTGCTCCTCTGCCTCTGCTCCTCTGTCTCTGCTCCATCTTGCTTCTCTGACTCTGCTCCTCTGCCTCTGCTCCATCTTGCTTCTCTGACTCTGCTCCTCTGCCTCTGCTCCATCTTGCTTCTCTGTCTCTGCTCCTCTGTCTCTGCTCCTCTGTCTCTGCTCCTCTGTCTCTGCTGCTCTGCCTCTGCTCCTCTGTCTCTGCTCCTCTGCCTCTGCTGCTCTGCCTCTGCTCCTCTGTCTCTGCTCCTCTGTCTCTGCTCTTCTGTCTCTGCTGTTCCTTAAAAGACAAATTTCCACCATGGTGTTCTGACCTGTCCTCCATCTCAGTGCTGGACTGTGGACTTTCTAAAGTCAACCCAACCTATTTAGATAGAAGAAACAAGAATGCATTGGATAACTACAGTCATATTTGGACTAAATTCTGAAGTATCATTAACAGTATAAAAATATTTTGACAACAACAGTAATTTTTTTTCTTTCATAATCTTATTTAGATTAATTTTGGAATTTGCGCAGAGCCAGAAGAGATGGAATGGAAGAAATGTGTCTTGCCAAGATCATTCAACCTTCAATACAAAAGTCCACAATATTTCATCCAAATTTGATAGCACCAGTTCAATGCATTCTTGAGATATCTGATAGTGATTAGTGTAATGATTTTCTGTTGAGATCCTGGAAACGAAAAGAGAATACGCAGAAATCGCTTTAAATCATGAGATTTGACAGATTATATTTCACTTTTCAGTTATGTTGTAAAACTTAAGTATGGTACATGCATTTTTGTGTAGTCTCATAGTTCAGTATTGTTCCAGTGTTTGGATAAGACCTCTCTGCGTCAGTTACATACGTCAAGTATCTAACGCTGGCACCGCTCCAGTCTAAATACCTGCAAACGAAGGATGAAAAAAAGGTTCTAAAGATTCTATTGTTATAGCATCAGCTAATTCAAATAAAAAACTATTATATCAATTCACAGTTTTTTCAGGTCAACATTAATATACAGTAAATTAAAATGCCTTTATAACAGGTCAGAGATCACCAATTAATTATACAATTATGCAAAATATGAAGCAGGGACAGTTCACACTTGTGGTTCAATAACCTAGTCAACGAACAGAAACTGTAAACAAATAGGTGTGTTAGTTTCAATGTAGTTAGAGACAGTTTAAAGGCAATGATTGACTTACAAATATCAAACGAATGAATCTTCTTGGCCAGGATATAAGTGAAATCGAGTTATCAGATTATGGAAATGTCTTGTAAACAGATCAATTTAAAGTGAGTAATATGGTGTCTTTGTGGTTGTTCACACCTGCAGGTTTGGACAAGCCTCACAATCTAGTTATCAAAACCCTAAAACTTGCACTCTTTCAAAATTCTGTTTTCTATTTTAAATGTTTCAGTTGTATAGGTGCACTATAACTTTTCTCGTGACGTGCCTGCAACTTACTTGTCTCCATTGTGACGTTATTGCTTTGCCTGGAACATTCCACCGTACACAAGACGGATACGTTTAATGCCATCCTGTGGAATAGTTAAAGCAAAGCAATAACATCTCTGCGGAGACAATCGGAAAAGTTACTTATTTCACCTTTGTTTTTACGATAGCAATAACTAGAATATTATCCCTTCATTATCACTGTATTCTTGGACACATTTCCTTGCCGAATTCCTCTTCAGAGAAATAATTACATAGGTTTATGCTAATGATACAAGATACAAGTCACATGCATCTCACCACAAACTACAGACCCCGCAGCCTCCAACGTAATGAGAACAATGGAGACACCTGCTTTGTTCTGCAGAGGACAACTTAATAACTCAATAATAACAGCCTTTCAAATCACAATTTATATTTCAGCGCTATTAGCTTGAATATAAAAGTGCTCATTCATATTCAGCTCCTCGTTATATGCAACATTTTGAGGACATTTTCCCATCTTCGGAAAACTTTGTTCCAGATGATTGTAATTGAAACACGTTGACAGACTTGGCTCTGAACTGTTACAGGTGGTTCAGTATAAATGTGATCTTTTTTGTCTCTGCAGGTGAACAAGAACAATGCTAAACTGTGGAACAATGTGGGCCACGCGCTGGAAAACCAAAACAACTACGCTATGGCTCTGAGGTACTTCCTACAGGCGACCAGAGTCCAGCCCGGTAAGGAACTATCAATGAACCATGGGATAATACTTAAATGTGACAGGTTTTCATGATTTTCAGTTGTGGTAAATGTGGTAAATGTTTAATACTATTTAAAATATAACATAATTTTAATAGTTTTACATCAGTTAAGTGGCAAAAATTGAGAAGTATAATACAATAATACAAGATGAGTGAGTGACTTATAAAACAGAATACCCTATGTCATCAACATGGACAATTCCATCCAAAATGCAGGGTCTTATGCATAAGGAACACATTTTTCTCCATTCCATTCCATTTTCTTCCGCTTATCTGGGGCCGGGTCGCGGAGGCAGCAGTCTAAGCAGGGACTCCCAGACTTCCCTTTCCACGCACACTTCCTCCAGCTCTTCTGGGGGAACCTCAAGGCGTTCCCAGGCCAGCCGATAAACATAGTCCCTCCAGCGTGTCCTGGGTCTTCCCCGTGGCCTCCTCCCAGTGGGACACGCCCAGAACACCTCCCGAGGGAGGCGTCCAGGAGGCATCCGAAACAGATGCCCGAGCCACCTTAACTGGCTCCTCTCAACGTGAAGGAGCAGCGGCTCTACTCCGAGCTCCTCCCGTGTGACTGAGCTCCTCACCCTATCTCTAAGGGAGCGCCCAGCCACCCTGCGGAGGAAACTCATTTCGGCCGCTTGTATCCGCGATCTCATCCTTTCGGTCATTACCCAGAGCTTATGACCATAGGTGAGGGTGGGAACGTAGACTGACCGGTAAATCAAGAGCTTTGCCTTTCGGCTCAGCTCCCTCTTCACCACAACGGTCTGATACAGTGACCACATCACTGCTGAAGCTGCACCGATCCGCCTGTCAATCTCACACTCCATCCTCCCCTCACTCGTGAAGCAAGACCCCGAGATACTTGAACACATTTTTCTGGTAGTTTAAAATTTATTTAACAAAACACTGCTTGTATTCATGGAACTATTATTGTTTTGTCTGAAATGCACCACAGTATGGCATTAAATCTATCTAGTAGGGATCTAACTGTAACCCAAATATTGTGATATTGTATCGTCAAAGTTCTCACAATAATATCATTGGCTGTCAGCATATATATCGAATTACAAGTCTCTGCTTAATTTAAGAGTTATGGTGCAGAAAATAGCTAAAATAAGACAGAGGGAACTAGATAGACCATGATCCACTCACATTAAGAATGCTGCAGTGAGGTCTTCAAGGTATTTTTTAATACTGAAAACCCCTGTAACTGAACAAATTCAAATTGGGTGTTTATTATATGTCTGGAACTTTCCACTTTTCCAGTTCTAATTGTTTGTGTTGGGTGACAGTAGTAAGAGCAATGGTCACTCGCTTGAAGCTCAAAGTTCTGTCATGACGGTGCAGATTGGCAGTTTTGCTTCTGTCAGCCTTCCGTCAGTCTGCCTCAGGGCTGCTGTGGCTACAATAGATAACCATCTTCTGTGGAGTGAAAAATGACGACAGTGTAGTTCTTTGAGAGGCGTGGACAAGTCTGTAAAGTGCATTACAAGTGTAAGGCATTCTTTATAGCCTGTTTTAAAAGTTCTGTACCCAATTTTTCCCCGTATATTTGAGCAAAAATGTGTTTTGCCCCAGTACAAATACAGTAATTATTGTATTTCTCTTGAGGTCAAAATGAGACTGTTGTGTAGCCTACTGTCTCCATCTAATTAAGAAGCATTTTGATCAGTGAACCAAGAAGTGAAAGTGTTAGCATACTAGTTGTTATTAACATTACTATGACAGCAAAACTCTGGCCTGATTTCAACTGGGAGCAGGTCACATTGTACAAAGTAGAGAAGGGTTTAATAAACATAATATTGAGCAGAACAATGGCATGACTCAAACGCTCCAGGTAAAACTTAAGAGACATGTTCACAATTACTCAGTCTGTCTCTCTGCTACTCATTAGCTTTGCTCCTCATTTTAACTGGATTTTGGAACCATAATGTTGGGAATTTCCAGGGATTTTGTAGAGTAACAATGACTGTATGACGTCTGTATCCCTGTGTGTCAAACAAGCTGAACTATTACAGCGTTTATTCTTAGAAAGAGAAACAAAATGAAAGATTGTTTAGCTCATTATTAGTGCTAGTGGTGATATATCTGATTTAGACGTTACTCAGCTGTGCTCCATTTTGTATGTGTATCAACAGTTTAAATAGTTTGTTTTCATTGACTCTGACCAAGTATTTATCAAATCTAGCCGCTGCGTTCCAAATAGGAAGTGGGAATGGGCACGCTTCTCTCCGTCTTTTCCAATTCACTTTCTATTGAAAAACATCCTCTCTCTTTGTTTATTTCTGTAAATCAGGATATGAACATTAATAACACTCAGGTACCTTGTTTCTCTGAGATTGCTCCTTCTAGAGTTAACAACATTGATTGACAGCGTTGCTAAGCTCCTGCCTCACTGCCAAACCAGCGGTGTGGGCAGGAAGGACCATTACAACACTTCAACACCCCCACTCCTGACTGGATCTTTGATTGCTATAGTAAACATAGTCAGATTTCTAAGTATTAAACCTCCAGATTAGCTGCTATAACTGCATCATTGGCTTCATTTGGCCGGTCATTCGATTTAATGGGGGGCTCGGCAAAAACTCTCAAAACTATTCTATCTCTCTGTACAGCTGACCCAAACTGCACTCACCCGCCTGGGACTATTTATGCAGAAAAAAGTCCTAGGAAACAATGTATTTATATAAAGACAGATAAAACTTATGAAACATAACTTTAATCTGTTTTGTTTGCTTATAAATACCAAAAAATACAAACTCTTCAGCTAACGCACACATTCACGTTGCCTATTCTGTCCCACATAAATCCTTATAATCTAAAAAACATTATTAATCTACAAGTTTTGGTCAGTTAGTAGACTAGTCAACCACAGCCCAAGATATCAGATCAGTGAATCAGTACATTAGTCACACCTCAGTCTTCAGATCTCAGTCCACCTCTCGCTTTGTTTTCCAGGAAGCCTGTTTTTGAGATTAAAGAGTCAAGCATATTAGTTGCCAGTGAAGCTAACAAAGAGACTATTGAGTTAGAATCTCACTAAATGCAAAGGTAAAATTAGAACAGAATATATTTTTAACACCTTTCCAAACGTATTATACTGGTTTATTCGCAAAAATTTTAGCAAAGGTACAGTAAGTGAGCTGTATAAAAAGAAGTTGTTTACAATTTAGAATAAAAAGTCTGATCTTAATTAACCTTAAAGGAGACCTATTCTGCAAAATCGACTTTTCAGAGTTTGTAAAAAATGTTATAGTTGTTTCCCTTCTCATTTACCCTCTCAAAGTTATATTTAGAGTGATTCGTGCATGTTTGAGCAATCCTTATTCTCCTGTATTTTGATCTACCCCCGTTTTCACAGTTTACACACCCACTGCTCTGTTCTTACTTCGTTCTCCAATTTTATTTTCCTAATCTGTGATATGCGTAGGATTCGGCTGGGTTGCGTAGCCATTTTGGTACAAATGAAAAAAATTCTGCTGCTCGCTCGTATGATCTGCAGTTTGTTGCAATGATGTGATTGTGATTCATGCAAATAGTTTTATTCGCGTATTTTGTTTTTTCGTAAATGTAATCTGATCCTCTTTCTCTCCAGATGACATCGGAGCTCACATGAACGTCGGTCGTACTTACAAGAACCTGAACCGCTCCAGAGAGGCAGAGGAGGCTTACCTGGTCGCCAAGGGACTAATGCCACAGGTGAGACGGAGAGAGAAAGGGAGGTAGTGAGGCAACAGAGAGAGAGAAAGAGAGAGGAGAGCGGGAGAGGAGGCTTACCTGGTCGCCAAGGGACTAATGCTACAGATGAGGGAGAAGAGAGTTAGAGAGGAAGAGAGTGTGGAACAGGGAGAGATGGAGATAGCGAGGCAAAAGAGAGACTGAAAGAGAGGGGACAGAGGGAGGGAGCAGAGAAAGAGGGATGGAGAGGAAGCCTACAAATTGATGCCACAGGTGAGTGAGAAAGGAATACAAAGAAGGGGGAGGGAGGTTAGTGAGGGTGAGGGTGAAAGAGAGAGAGGGATCGAGATAAAGAGAGAGAAAGAGGGGGTGTTTTAGAGTTCAGATATTAATTCCTACTACTAAATTAGTTTACAGTTATTTAAGTATATCACAGCTAAGTACAATTAGTTGTGATGTACTCCATTAGTTGTATCAGCCATACTGTGAACTGAAACCACAGTTGGATACTCTCCCAGAGTTGTAGTACCGGCACTCTGATTGATTCTATTGATTTCCAAGGCAAATGGGCAGAGAAGGATTGGGAAGTTGAGACTGGTGTTCACCTGGTAATTGCAGAGTCACTTTCTTCCAAACATAATTACCGTATTTTCCGCACTATAGGGCATTCATGATTATAAGGCGTCATTGAGTGGTCTATTTTTGAACTTTTTTCACATATAAACCGCACCGGACTATAAGGTGCATTAAACAAAACACAACAGTTAGATGGGTCAGTGGGACTTTGTTTGGCACGTTCACGGTGACTCTGGGCTTTGTTTGTTTGCTAGGGAGGGTGCTGTCTGGGACCGCTGGATTGTCGGCGTATTCGCAGTGACTCAGTTGTTCAGTTGTGTCTAGAAGTGGCACATTGTACTCACTTTTTCGGTTTGTTCCTCCGTTCCATTCCTCGTCAGCGTGGTGTGATGAGTGTGGCTGCGGGTGTTTTTCGCTGTGCGGTCGCTGTCTGCTCCGTGCGTGTTTGCGTGCGCTGCGGGTGGTGCAGCTTTGTAGTTTACTGAAGTCGTGCTGGCACACCCGAGTGGATTCGTGTATAGGGCGCTCTGGATTGTGGGGCACACAGTCGTTTTTTGATGGGGTTGGAGGCTTATGAGTGCGCCCTGTAGTGCGGAAAATACAGTATTTAAACCGCAATCATTCATTCACTTCTTAAGATTGGTATCGCCTTTCATACTGCTGACTCAAATAAGCATGGTTCAACATTTAGTTTAGACAGGTCCACTCAGAACTAAGTGAACACACAACAGAATTCCCTTTTAGGTTGACCTTAATAGTCCTCTATCTGACCCTCTCCTCTGCTTTCACGTAATTTCATATCTAAAAAATGTGAAATGTGAAAATGTTTCTTTTTAAGGTGATTCCAGGAAAGAAGTACGCAACCCGAGTGGCGCCAAACCACCTGAACGTTTACATAAATTTGGCGAATTTGATCCGTGCGAATGAATCTCGTCTGGAGGAGGCGGACCAGCTGTATAGACAGGCCATCAGTATGAGACCGGACTTCAAACAGGCTTACATCAGCAGGTGGGTGATAGATATATCTCCGATCATGGACTCATGTTATATTATTATATTACTATTAAAGCAGATCTATTCTGGAAAATTTACTTTTCAGATCTTTCAACATTTTCCTTCTCATTTACCCTTGTGAAGATGTATTTTCCGTATTCTTAATGAGTGATACTTGTAGGAATCAGCAGTGTTGCGTAGTCATTTTGGTACAAATGAAGAAAAGTGTGTGTGAAGTGCAGTTATCCATAGGAGCCTGAGATAGGAGAATGTGGTGCTTTGTTGTGATGACTTTTATGGTAACGTCTGCTTCCATTGCGGTAGCATGGTTTCATTTATTAATTCATTTTAGATCAATGTGTAGCAGACTCAAGCACAATATGTCTTCTTTAAACTATACTACCAGAATTAGGTAGCAAAAAGTGAAAAAGTGAAATAACTTAACTAAACATTTTATATTTTACATTCAAATCCTCAAAGCAGCCATCCTTTGCTTTGTCAACGACTCTACAAACCCTTGACCTTCTCTCAAATAGCTTCATAATGAATCATGTCTTCTGAAATGGTTTTCACTTCACAGCAGTGTCTTCTTAGAGTCGAGAAATGCCAAAGTAGTGATCAAAACAAAAATAAAAAAAATAAATCTAGTTCATTTTTGCTTCCTACATTCTATATGTGTTCATTTATGGTTGTGATGCCTTCAGTAAGTATCTACAGTATAAATAGTCATGGAAATTAATACAATTATTAAATGAAGAAGTGTGTATAAACTTTTGACTGGCCGTGTATTTGTTTGAACGGGGGTTATTTTCCAAATTGCCCACTTTAATGCACAATTAACTTTACTGATGGGTGTGCCTGTAATGTTCCACATCTGGGTTTCTTTGTGCAGTTTGCTTACTTGGTATGTATCTATGTGTGTAGTTTTTTGTCATATTTTAGATCTATTTTAACCATAATTTAGGATGGAATATAATGGTGTTATAGACCTGGTTTTGTTCTGGTGTCACTCAGAAAGTTACATACTGTGGCTTTTCATATTCTGACTTATTTATGTTGCAGAGGTGAGCTTCTGTTAAAGATGAACAAGCTGACGGAGGCGCGCGATGCCTACCTCCGTGCTCTGGATCTGGACCGCACCAACGCAGATCTGTGGTACAACCTGGCCATAGTCCACATCGAGATGAAGGAACCACAAGAGGCTCTCACCAACTTCAACCACGCTCTGGAGATCAGCCCCAAACACAAGCTGGCCCTGTTCAACTCTGCTCTGCTCATGCAAGAGTCCGGTAAGGAAGAAATCTTCCACAAATTGAGGAGAAGGTCAGATGGAGCAGAGGAGAGGGTCAAATAGGGCAGTGGATGCACAAGAGAGGGCCAAGTGGACATAGAAGATGATCAGATCGAGCAAATGATGAAGAGGAGAGGGTCAGGTCCAGACGAGCAGAAAAGAGGTTCAGATGGAGGACTATAAAGGTTAAGATCAAAGGGTTCACTTCATTCTTAGTCTGGACTTGTCTAAACTAAACATTGAACGATCAAAGTGAATGAATGGTTATTTGAATAGTTATGTTTGGAAAGAAGTGACTATACAGTTATTTGGTCAACAACGCACCTGATCAAAGTCTATGAGGTTCACACAGTCAATGAAAACCTAAATATGTCACATACTAATCAAAACGAAATTGCGAGATGAATGGATGCAATAATTGACAAATCGCTAAGGCTGCGAATTTTGAACTACCAACTTTTCCTCCACAAACAATAAAAAGTCATATTCTTGTATTAGTTTGTCAGTTTATATTAAGGTCTTTTGTCAATTCTTCTTAAAATGTATGAACGTTGAACAGAATCCTATTATTAAACCATAAGTTGCAAATCAAAATGCAGTCGCAAAAACGCAATTACCGGTAGATATTTTTTCCCAAATCATTTCATTCATAAGGTCTGATCGTCTTTAAGTCCTGATGTTCAAGGTTCAAGGTAGCTTTATTCATACTAACATGTAAATTGAGTTTGTTTGAGGCAGTCCATTCATTCATTCATTCACAGACATCGACATCTGAAAAGGGACAGTGCAAGGAAATGAAAACCCAATAATAAATAATATTAATGGTACAGTATGTCATTTTCTGGAGGTGGCACAACACTTTCACGATTCCTTGGAAATAGAAAATTTAATTATACACCAGAACATTCTTCATGGAGCTAGATAAGATGTTGACCAAAGGAACCACATTTCCATGGAAACAGGCAAGAGTCAGAGGCAAACCCGCTCACAGTGAGGATGTTTCTCAGCGCAACAAACACACAGAAGAACATGTATGGACTAAGAAAGCTTTGTGGGGCAAAAGTCCAGCATCTCGATCGATGTTTCTTCTGCTCAATAAATAACGCCAGTGAAGTGATGATGTATGTTTGACAGTGAAGTCGCGTCTGTGAACTTTCATTTCATGATTGGAATTCATGATGTTGTAACTTGTCAATTAGTTTTCTGATGGATAAAATACACACAATACATTTTATGTGCGACTGGACTCATTCGAGAGTTTACGAATATTTATTTTATGCTCTATCCTATGCACATAAATATTTCTGAAAGCTTTCTTAAACCTCTTATTGTAGCCTATTTTATGGCTAAAAGATAAATAGTGTGGCTTTAAAAGAAGAAGAAACGATGTTTATGTTCACAGCAATACAGTACACTTGTTCTTTGTTTAAATCATGTAATGTCACATAATCCCATATAATCTAATCTCACCTGCACCTTTTATGTTCTGAATTTCTGGGGTTTAGCGGGGTTTTCTGACCTCTTTGACTCAGGCGTTACACTCGGCTTCACTTTTCAAGGTGCAGTGTTTTGAAAAGGATCACGTATTTATTTTGTGTTTGACAGTGACTCCCTCACCTTTTACTCCCTCCTCCAAACTACAGCCATACATCATGCTCACATTCTTCAGAACTTTGCGGTAAAACCAAACGAGGTGTCATTTTAGTGATTGGTTAACTCTGAGTCACCGATAAAGGTATAAAAAATATGTTTATCTAATATATCTGCAGGGGCGTGTTGAACCTTGCTGTGACATAAAAAGCTTATCCTCCTTTGCAAAGGTCAAATAGTTGATGGGTTTTTGATTGGCAAAACCAAATAAACTGATGATGTGACAAGAAGTGGAATGTTACTTTGACAGGTCCCTATACCCTGCTCTGAATTAGCTTTTGGTAATTGATGGAAAGTATATTTAAGAAAATTGGGCCCATATTACTCTATTTTTTGATGTATGCTATAATGTCATTTCCTCATCACAAAAATACCTGGGGTTGTGTTTTGTTTCATTCACATTCAACTTGTTTTACACACAAATTCTGCATATTTAGGCTGAGTTCGTTTCTCAAACACAAAACACTCAATCATTTGGATCATTTCAGCGACAGAATTGCCCATTTCTATTGAACTAAATCTAAAAGGCAGCTGTTAACTTGAAAACTACAACTACACGATATCACAAGGTGGGACAGAGCATTTTGAGCTTTGGAGATGAAGACATGTATGAATGAAATAAAACTAGGGTGACCAGATTTTTTTATTCTAAACTGGGACACACCTGGATTAGGATAGTTAAAATTGTGAGATTGTGCATTCTTGTGTCATTCATGATCTGAGGGACTTCTGTAGCTGCATTTTTTTTGCTTTATGGTCCTTTGCAAACACGGTTTTCTGTATTTTGACTAAACAAAAGACAATTTATGTTCCTCTTTACTAGGGGTGTAACGATATCCAAGTCTCATGATACGATATTGTCACGGTATGAACCTCACAGTACGATATTTACGATTGGGGATGTAACAATCTCCAAATCTCTCAGTATGATATTTTCACAATATACATCTCACGGTATGTATATTGCAATATATTGTGGAGGTTAAAAAAACTGTTAATATGCTACTTTTTCCTCTTAAAATGCCTTGACAAGACTTAATCCAAAGAACTAAGATTTAAAATAGCTTAGAACTGTTATTCCTTCTTGTAGTCTGCACTGAAATGGAGCAAAGCATCATGGTCTATGTAGTTCCCTGTGTCTTTTTAGCTATTGCTGCATCATAACTCTTCATTTACGCAAAGAGACTTGTGATTCGATATATTGTGATGGTCCACGATATTATTGTGAGAACTTTGACGATACGATATCACGATATTTCGGTAATTGTTACATCCCTACTCTCAAAAGTTGTGATTGTTCAGTTTTAGTCCTTGTTTAGAGTTGATGTAGTCCTGGTTGATCCTATAAATCTTAGTTTAGTCCTGGTTTAGATCAGATCACTGTTTTTTAAGGATGTAACTATAACCGAAATATTGTGATATCATATCGCCAAAAGTCTCACAACAATATCATGGGCTGTCACAAATATCAAATCATAAGCTCTTTTGTTTAAATGCATGGTTTTATAGTAGCAACAGCTTATAAACATAGGGAACTACATATCCCATGATTCATTTCAGCGCAGACAACATGAAGAAATATGTTTTTCACTTGAATTCTTGGGATGATGATGGTAATGATTCACACCAAAATCTTGTCAAGGTATTTTAAAAACAAAAAAGTGACCTATCTACAATTATATTAGCCTCTTCAAAAATATCGCAATAAATATCGTGTATCTGTGAGATGCATATTATGATAATATCGTACCGAGAGATTTGGATATCATTACATCTCTATTGGTTTTGTAGAAATCTGCTGGTACAGGGGATACAGGGCTTGGAACTGGGACTGTCCCGGTCACCCAAAACAAAACACAACTTCAGGTATGTTTTTGAGGGAACAGCATTCATTATAAGAGTTCATTTTGTGTAACTATCTAAAATCTCCTTTAACATCTCCATGACAACGCAGATTCCCCTCTCACTCTTGTCAACACCGTTCTGTCCGGCTGCATATTTGCTATTTGTTCAAACTGTTGTGACCTTGCTTGTATAAACCTTATGACTTATCACATGTCACCAAGCGTTCAGCCAGGGACGGTTTTGATAATCTATTACCGTAAACCTCCACTTTGTCACAGTGAGACCTCTGCAAAGGCATTTCTCTGTTTGTTTTGGGGCAGGCGAGCACAGGTGAGCATAGATACATTACGTGCTATGTGTGATGTTATGCTCGAACCAGGTGTGTTTGAATTGGTCGCTTTGGCTGGGTTTATATTAATGCAGGTGTACAAACAGATTTCTGAGTTCAATAAATCATAATATTCTTTGTCAGCTGTTTGAAATTAAATAAAAACTGTTTATTTTTTACAAGCTTAAATGGATTATATACAAGTATTTGAGCAAACTTTGTCTTGCCCCAGTACAGACATATTGTATAATCAGCTCTTGAGGTCAAAATAAATCTGTACTGTCTGTCTGTCCCAGATTTATCCAGGACAGTCCCAGTTTTGAACCCTGTGTCCCCTGTCCCAGCAGATTTATCCAAAACCAGTGATTTGTCTCATTTTTATACAAGAAATGGCCCACGTCTCCCTATTGTTGACCAATTTGGTCTAAACCAGGACTAATCTAAGACTAAACCAGGACTACATCAGGTCTAAACCAGGACTAAAACAGGGCTGTCACAATTTTTGACTAATCTGATCCCTGCCAACAGTAAAGAGGAGCATAAATTGTGATTTGTTTGGCTAAAATACAAAAAAACATGTTTGCAAATGAGCAGCAACAGAAGTCCCACAGAATATAACTGACACAAGAATCTGACATGCTCTTTTCTAGAGATGCGTGGATTGCGGTTACAACCGCGGTATCCGCGGTTAATCCGCGGGTCGGGCGGATGACGTGACGAAAAATTATATTTTAATTAAATTCGGGCGGGTGGCGGTTTAACTACTAAAAAAAAAAAAAGTATTGGTTGTATTGTTAGTATTGTTACCTACATCTGAAAAGACGAGTCTCATTGTCTATGCTTGTAGTATGAAGTGTACGTCATATCCTTAATTAGCCCATTTGACCTCGTTTTTATGTTCTGAAGGTTCAGGTTGTGTCGGGTTATTGATGCCTAAGGTTTACGAGGCACATATTATATGCAGTTTATTTTATTATTTCTAATTTATTTCAGCTGTTTGCCAACACATAAGTGGCTATAGGGCCATATTTATTTAGTTATGCATTTTTGTCTTGCCTATTTCAATTGGAATATAAAGAAGGGCATTGCCTGATTTCAATAAAGGTTCATCTGGATGAGATGATCTGTCTATTTTGTTTCGATATCAGTTATATTTTAAAACACGCAGACATTATAGCGTAGACTGCCACTCGGGGTATTTAAAACTTAAAGAAAGACCGATGGAGTGAGGCTATGACTTTGAAATAACATTGGGCAATGGCAGAATGTTCAGAATGTAACAACATCCAACACGAAGGCAAGAAGGTTCAAAAATAGCCTAGTCGGAAAACATTGTCAATTAATTAGCTGCGCAAGAAAACCAGGTAAGTTTGGGTTGTTACGGACAATTAAGAATGCGAACATACACGCTGAGCGAATTTTGGAATGAATGAGCTACAGAGTTTGCATTTTTATCGAGGCTCCTCAGTTTGTTTGCTGTATGATTGTTCTAAAATCTAAAATCAATCGGCGGATGGCGGGCGGGTGCGGTTTTGAAAACCTTGCAAAATGCAAAATGGACAGCGGGCGGATGATGAGTTTTGTGTCGCGGTTGCGGATGAAAAAATAGCCCATCCGCACATCTCTACTCTTTTCACAATTATATTTATACCAATCATCCAAATCCGGGTGTGTCCCAGTTTAGAATTTTGAAAATCTGGACACCCTAGCGTTACCTTGATGGCAGAACTCAACTCTGGTCTCTGAAAGTTGTGAAGAGCACTTATAAACTCATTGTGATGAATAATTATAGTGCTCTGAATGCATAAAATAAGTGAGGATTCACTTTGGACCACTGCAAACCTTCCATATTTTTTGGACTATAAGTCTGTCTGGAGTATAAGTCGCACCAGCCAAAAAATGAATAATGAAGAAGAAAAAAACATATATGTCACAGTTTTTGGGTGAAATGTATTTTATAAAATCAGATACCAGGATTTGACATTTCCTGTTGAAAGTCAAGTTCTAGTAATAACAATAGAACAGAGAACAGATTGTTAACGTCACATATGAACAGTTCTTCAGATAAACTATAACATAAACAACAGAACAGAACAACCAAACTCTCCATCTCACTCCAAATCACTAAATCCAATTCAATTCTTCATCCTCTGTGTCACGTCTGAGCAACTCCGTGATCTCTGGAGGTAAACAGAGCGTCACTTCCTCTACTGTGTTGCTGTCGTCAGACTCGGCATCAGTTCCAGTTAGAATTATTCCGGCCTTTCTGAATCCTGACAGGATGGTTTTGGTGTCACTGAAGTCACTTAAATTAAAAAATTTCAGTGGTACAGAAGTAATGGTGCGATTGACTGACATGATACAGACAGGACAGAGGCTTTTTGCAAAAGACGTGCAGTAGAGTGAAGTGACAGTGGTACAGGAGTAATAGGAGAAGTAGATACTGATACACAAGACTAGAGCGCCCTCTCACAGCTGTCAGTGTGAATGATTTAAGTTTAAGTCACACTGGAGTATAAGTCGCAGGACCACCATAACCATGAAAAAAGTGCGGCTTATAGTCCAAAAAATACGGTACTTCATTTTTCCAAATTTTTAAGACAGTAAAAATCAGGTAAAGCACCGTTACTTCTGTTTGTTAATCAAAACGTTGACTTTTGTTTTCTCTCTTTTCGTAGGCGACCCAAAGTTCTGGCCTGAAGCTAACCGTCGCTTCCTGCTGTACGTGCAGGAGGAGCCGCAGGACGCCAACGGCTACTTTAACCTGGGGATGCTAGCCATGGACGCTAACGAAGACGAGGCTGCCGAGCGCTGGATGAAAAAGGCGATTCGGCTCCAACCGGGCTTCCGTAGCGCGCTGTTTAATCTCGCTCTTCTCTACTCCCAAGCCAAACGCGAGACGGACGCTTTGCCAGTTTTGGACGAGCTTTTACGTTATCATCCCGACCATATCAAAGGGCTAATCCTCAAAGGAGATATTTTGATGAACCACAAAAAGGACACGCAAGGAGCTAAGATTTGTTTTGAGAGAATAATCGCTCTAGATCCGACAAACGTGCAGGGAAAACACAATTTGTGCGTCGTTTATTTCGAGGAACGCGACTTACCGAAAGCGGAAAGCTGCTTGGTAGAGACGTTAGCTTTGGCGCCAAACGAGGAGTACGTGAAGCGGCATCTGAACATCGTGCGGAGCAAAATGGCCGCCATGAGTGCAGCGGGGCAACCGTTAACAGCGCCGCCGCCGTCGTCACCACAAGAGGGCGCCGCTCACCAAGAGGAAAAGCAACCGATCGTCAACAAGGAGCCGGAGGATAAGCAGCAGGAAGGGAGCGGCGCTAACGCTAACGGGAAGCAAAAGAATAGCAGGAAGTCGAAGGAAGCGAGCAGCGCGGGGCAGAGTGGTTTGGACCAGAGCCAATCTGACAAGCGGACTAAACCTGCAGGAAAATCGACCAAAGATTTAAACGACATTGAAGAAAAACGAGCTGCAGCGCTGAAAAGACTGGAGGAGATCGAGAGGATTCTGAGCACCGAATGATTTTTTTTAAAAAGCGCACACTGCAAAAGAACAAATATGCACTGTTAAAATGACTTGAATTTGATTTAAAGGGTTGTCAAAAGTATACAAAATCAACTACACATTTCAGCAGGTGTTACACTAAAAAAGTCACATTCACAGTACGGAAATGAACATTTCCTGAGTAGCGAGGGTGACCAGACGTCCTTATTTACCCGGGTCAGTCTCAGTTTTGAGCCACGTGTCCCAGCAGATTTATACGAAACCATTGATTTGTCCCAGTTTTATACAAAAAAATGTCCCAGGTGTCCTTATTTTTGACCAATTTGATTCCTGCCAACATTAAAGAGAGACATGAATTGTAATTTGTTTAGGTAAAATACAAAAAATCTGCTTAAAAACGACCAAAACACTAAGAAAATGTGACTATACTGACTCACATGTTGGTCCTGAATCATCTTTGCATAACAGTTTTCTTTAATTACGCACTTGTTCCGCAATTTTACTATTACCAACCACCAAAAAACGGGGATGTCCCAGTTTTGTTTTGTTTTTTTCAAAATTCTGGTCACCCTATGAATGTCTTAAGAATGATCTTGAGCTGTATCAGAACAAGTATAAGAGCACATAGACTAGTATACAACCATGGACCACTATGGAACCTACTTTTGACCACTGAGGGACACGCATATAAAACCACAAAAGAAAGTACTACGGAATAAAGGTACATTGTGTAACTTTTCTGGGCGAGGGTCCGCCACCTGCTTTTCCCCATGGAGATGTTTTTGCTTTGTCTGAAATATTTTGCAGTATGTTATTAAACCTTTCTATTTTCATGGAGACTAAACCAGACAAAGTTACAGGTCAGATCTGTGGAAAGGCGGCTCTGCTCACAGTCAGAATGCCTATTTTTCTAGGTATTTATAAGGGATAAAACCACCTGTAATTGAATAAATTTAAGCTAGATGTTAAATGTCTGTGGAACATATCTATAGAAACAAGCAGGTGATGGACCCGCAACCATAAACTGTGCCTCTAAGTTGTTGTTTTTGTTTTTTTTTATCATTATCGTATTATCAGAATCTAGTCTATTCCTTAGTATTGAAATCATGTGTGAAATTATAGTATCATGGCAACACTAATAGTTTAATTTAATTTAGTAAAAAAAATTTCTGTTGGAGCGTCTGCCACCTAGTTGGAGATGTTATTGCTTTGCCTGGGATGTTTCACAGTATGGCATTAAACTTGTCTATCTATAGATACAAGAAAGGTGATTTAACGAAACAAAATTACCGGTCAGATCTGTGAAGAGGCGACCCCGATCGCTGTGACAAAACATGTCTTTCAAACATGTAATTTTGCGTAAAAAAAACCCTATAAAAACTGTAAAAACAACTTGAACTAATTGAATAAACGCAAGATAGATTAACTTAGTCATATTGTTGAACATTCCTGGCAAAACAATAACGTATCCATGGAGACAAACATGCATTGGACTCTCAGAAAAGTTACACAGTGCAGCTTTAAGCAGTTTAGAGTTGGTTTACTAATAGTGCACTGACAACTGAACACACACCATAGCAGTATTCAGACTAAACTCAGAACTAGTACATTACAAAATAAAACTATGAATTAGTCAAAACTCCTTAAAACAACTTATATTTTCAGAAATCAAGTCATTTTAACGTGTTTATTTTCCTTTTCGCAGTGCGCCGAATGGACAGGTGTTAACTGTATTTTTATTACTATTCTTTTTTTTGCATTTTTAAACACTAATCATGAGCTTCAAAGGGAAAGCACAAAGCTAAGCGCGTTTGGGTGACACTATTTAAGTGAATGTGACGCTGTGTATTTAGTCTAATATGCAAAAAAGACTGGCCACAATATTAGGTACCCCTCCTCCAATGGTTTTTTCGCTGCGTTAACTTGAGCAGCATCGGTGATTCAGAGTTATTATTCAAATGTATTCTTGTTTGTCAGATGCCCTCCAACCCTCCTACATCCCCGTGGGTCAGATGCCCTACTTTCCTCCTTAGAGCCTTGTTGTGTTGGACTGAGATGAGCGCAGGTTAAATGGTAGTTAATCTGAAGATGTGGAGTGGTTGTTGCGAAATTAGAGAGAAATGATCCAGTTTTCGAACAGATTTACACGATTTTCTTTGCAGCGTCTTCGATTCCGCATTGAAAAACATTGGGAGAGCCGTACCTAATAAAGCGGCCAGTGGGTGTGTGTATTGTGGCCATTGTTTGGGTTAACCATTCATGTTTATCACTGGATTATTTTTCTTGTCTTTTTTTTTTTCACGACGCAAAGATGTGACTCACAACTATGACATTGAAATGATTGTATCCAAAACAATGGGAGGAAGTGACGTCGCCCCCTGGAGGATTGAGCGATATCTGAAAATAACCCCTCTTCACCATAAAGGATCTCGCTGTGAAACGTGTAAACAATTCAGCCCCCACTGTCTTCCTGAATGCGACGCAGCGGACATTTTGGGACATTCTTTTTGATCACGAAACGATTGCTACACCACTTTGCAATGGGGAGTCTTCCGGCAAAACACAGCTAGAATCTCAGCATCAGAATCTCAAAGTAGGTTTTAGGTCGGGCAGAATTATATGCAAAAATGATCAAGTTGTGATTATAATTAGATTTTCAATGTTTTATTTAGAAAATTAAACATGCACTATGTAACGTTTTGTAGTAGTAAGGTTCGCCCCCATCTTAAATTTCTCCATGGAGATGTTATTGCTAAAACTGTAATGTTACACAGTATGGCATTACACTGGTCTGTCTTCATGGAGACAAGCAGGTGGCGCAAACAAGCCATGTTATGGGTCAGATCTGTGGAGAGGTGCTCACTATAGGAATTCTTGTTTCTTGTGGTTTATTCCAGTTCTAAAACCAGATAAATTTATTCCTCGATCATGTAAACGTTTATTCTTCTTAAAAATAATTCCAATCGTTCAGTGCATGCTCGTTGTGACGATTCAGCTCCACCAGTCCTGGCTTCGAACTTTCATCCAGAGCTCTTTGGATTTATGAGCGTGTTGCGGGAGTGGGTTGAGGTAGAGCAGCCGTTGACTCAGTTTGTCTTCTTCCTCCCTTCTCCAACACTCTTCCCTTCTCCTCCTCAGCTGTCAAACGTAAAGCGTGATGAGAGAATTCTCAAGCTTCTGCTTAATTATCATCGGAACAACTGCAGAAAAAGTTTATATCATGTTTTTGTCCTTGGCGTAATAACAAACCAAGATGACAGAAAAGCCGGTAGCAGCTGAAGTGTGTGTTTTCTTCTGGTCGACGTAAATACGTTTGTGTTTCTGTCCAATCCGAACCCTTCCCCACCCCCAGACACTGAGCAGGATTAAATAAAGGCGATGGCGATGTGTTTTCCATGTAAACCTCAATTCGGAATTATCATTTCCATGTAAACTCGAAGGAGAGTATTTAAATTCCGCACTATTTAATTCAGAGTTAAAAAACATCATGTAAACGTGGCTAGTGTCTCCTCATCACAAACAGACCTGCATTTGTTTTTTGTTTCATTCACACATGTTCAGCACATAAACCCTGCAGATTTAGGCTGAGTTTTTCTTAATCAGAAAGCACTTGAAAACATTGCTGTTTACTTGAAAACAACATAAGGTGGAACAGAGCATTTTGAGCTTTGGAGATGTAAACAGACTAATAAAAAAAGGTTTACTCAAACGTGTTACTGAAACAAAACACAACTAACAGTAACAGTATTCCAACATGGCTTAAAGCTCACAAGAGTTGATTTCACGTACTTTAAGTTAGATAAATGCTGGATAGATAACTTTACTGTGAAACATTACAGGCGAGTTACTAACATCTCCATGGAGACAAGCAGATGTTGGACCCTCCTTCAGAAAGATTTATTTCAGTATGTTGCCTGGAATGTTCCAAAGTTGCATTGCATTTATCCAATTACTGCATTGTCGGTAAGAAAATACCTTGAAAATCATGAAATTGTTCTGTATGCAAGCTCGCCTCTCCACAGATCTGACCTGCAATTTGGCATGCTACGGTGTCGCCCGCTTGTCTCCTTTGGGATAGATGTGTTTAATGCCATACTGTGGAACATTCTCAGCAAAGCAATAACATCTCCGTGAATGTTCATGGGTTTAAGAATGATGAAAAATTGGGGCCGTTGCTATAGCGACTAACAATTTGAATCTACGTCTTTTGAATTTTCCTTAAAATGTTGTATAGAACAGGAGACTTATGGTACAATTCTCAAGTTTGCACAAGTAGACTGAGTTGTGTAGATGTTTTGTGTGTTTTGTCCCGATTTGAGTCATGAGTTTTTCATTTTCAGATTGCGCTCACTTCAAAGTTAGAATTTTCACAGTGAATTTCCTACAAAACAATCTCTTATTTTTGCTCCTTTTTGCTGGAATGATCTGGTTACAACTCGCTGGTTTTAAAACATCTAAAACATTTAAAGGCGCTGTATCTAATTTTTTTCCCGTGTACTTGAGCGAGTATAAGCAGCTCTTGGGGCCAAAATAAGTCTGCCGTGTGCCGATTAGAAGGCGCTGTATTGCCCGATAATCAGGAAGTGTGTGTTAGCATGCAAGTTGTTGCTTTATATCAGGGGTCTCATGACTTTTTCCTCTGGTGAGCTACCTTTACATAATGAAAATGCCAGAGAGCTACTAGTTTCAACGGTCACAAAAACTGAGTGCTGTATTTTTCAGACTATAAGTTGCTCCGGAGTATAAGTCACACCAGCCAAAAAATGCATAATGAAGAAAAAAAACATGTATAAGTGACATCGGACTATAAGACACACTTTTTGCGGGAAATTTATTTTTATAAAATCAGGAACCGGGAACACACATTTTATCTTGAAAGGGAAGTTATAGTAACAACAATAGAATAAAGAACAACAGACTGAATAGGCGTCTGGTATATTAACGTATGTTAATAGTTATTCAGATAACTACATAACATAAGTTTACTAAACTCTCCATCTCACTCCAAATCACTAAATACATTGAATCCACTGAATTCTTCATCCTCGGTGTCACTTCTGAGCAACTCCACGCAACTTCGGTTGTCACTGAAGTCAAGGCATGGCCCGCCCTCCCGGTTGCTGTGAAACTGTGTTCTCTGTTCTCGCTTTTCGCCAGTCCCTCACAAGTTTCTTTACTTAATCAAATTTTACTTATTCAGCGCTATACATGTAATTCAGAAATCCCTTGGCGAGCTACTTGGAAGATGGTGGAGAGTTACCAGTAGCTCCCGAGCTGTGCGTTCACAGCAAAACTCTGCTCTGGTCTTTGAAAGTTGTGAAAAACTCATCAGAGTGAATTATTACGATGCTCAGAATGCATAAGGTACTGCAAATCTTAAACGGTTTAAAATGAACCTTAAAATGAACTAGTTCTGTTTTTCGTGTCAGGTACAGCGCCTTTAATCGAGCTCCACATATTCACTTGTATGTTTCGTATTCAGCTGCTTTTGTCCATTAACAGACTGCACGGAATTCGTTTGGGATACGAATAAAACTTGAAATGTTGCTTTGCCACTTACCACACCACGAATGAAAAACATGAAAAACCATGGGAGATCGGTAGTCAATGGAAGCTTTTTACAGCAGGCTTTTTTATTACAAATTATTACTTTTCCACAGAGAATTGTACAAGTGTTATTTCCATTTGTAATACAATCTGTTGGCTGTAAACCTACAAGAAACTGCCATCTGAAATATCTTCCACCATACAAAATGGTTGTAATAGTTTGTTCATTTCACATTATACAACGGCACTTTTAATTACTGTACTATTACTTACAATTGCTTTTTTGTTTGCTAAAGCCACAATATGTGACTTTTAAGCCAAAAAATTACTAAAACAAATTTATGTTTTTTTGTTTCATTTTCATTTTGTTTGAGTTTATTGCACTGAAAAACATTTTTGGCTTGGAGGAGGCTGTAACTGTACACACTAAAAAACATATTTGTCTCCGCGGAGCATGTTCCCAAGTGTGGTTTTAACATTTGGTTTCCATGGAATCCTGAGAGCGACATGCCATCTCCAGAAAGTTACATATTGCTGCTTTAACATTTCTTAACATGAACAAAACAAGACAATTTTTATTATAATTTCCAAGATATCTTTTTTCTTTTTTTTCTGCTAAAATATTGGCATAACTAACTTTAAAACTGCAATTATTGTGGGGCCTTTTGTTGCACATTTTATAAACATTTGTCATTGATACTGTCCTTTTTACACTACAAACAATATTCTCACACTCACACTAATTATAGGCTCTTTTCACGCTTATCTTAAGACGTTTGGACACATTCAGATGACGACTTCCAGTGTGATAAAACTATCGCCCAGCAGCGGCCTTCACAACCTGCCAAAGCTTTCCGGGGGGACGTGACTCTAAACGCATCTTCACTTACAGGCAGCTGGTTGTAACTTTTATTATTGAGTTTGACAAATTTGAATACACAAATGAATAGACAATTTATAAAAGGAAAAAATAAATACAATAGATGCATGAAGAATCTCAGACTTCCGGTCACTGCACAATGCATACTGGGAAGGATTTTCCGAAAAAGTGAGCATCAAACCGCCGTGTTTGTTTGGGATGTGTCTATTGACAAAGATGATCTTTTCTAGTTTTTTGAACCATATTGCTTTTGATTCTGGTTCTGATATTATCATATTTTAGTTTTGGGATTTGGACATCGTAATTGTGTGGTTGTTGGATGTTCTAACAGCAGAAAACGGCTCAAGAAATTTGTTTGAGAACTTCATAACTGCAAAAGGGAATCAGATCTGTGTGACTGCAAACCTCTGTTCAAACTGTTTCCCTGCCCAACGGAATTGAAAAATAGTGAAAGGCGAAGGTGATGGGCAGTACTGATCCACGGGAGAGACGAAAAAGGAAACCTTTGACTGCCTAAATCAACCTGAGTTTGCAGTGAACATTTTGTATGTGGAGCGCCATCAAACCAAAATCCTGATCCCTCACTCAACCTTGGTTATGAATTTAAAAAGTCAACACCAAAGCGAAAGGCACCAGCTGTTCACCAAGAAACACCTTCCACTGCGTAATGTAACATAAAGTTGCTGTAAAGTCACAAGAACAAGAAAGTGCGAGCTCGGCCTGTTTGTCTTCTGCACCTCTCACTTAACAAACAGGATCCTGCTTTGATGGCGCTCCACATACAAAATGTAACACTGCAAACTCAGGATGATTTAGGCGGTCAGAGGTTTCCTTTTTCATCTTTCCTGTGTAACAGTACTGCCCATCACCTTCACCTTTCACTATTTTTCAATTCTGTTGGGAAGGGAAACAGTTTGAACAGAGGTTTGCAGTCACCCAGATCTGATGGATCTTATGGAGTTCGCAAACAAATTTCTTGAGCCGTTTTCCACTGTTAGGACATCCAACAACCACACAGTTACAATGTCCCAATCCCAAAACTAAACTATGACAATATCAGAACCAGAAACAAAAGCAATATGGTTCAAAAGACTAGAAAAGACTGGCTTTGTCAATGGACACATGTCTATGCATTGCGCAAGTGACTGGAAGTCCGAGATTCTTGATGCATCTATTAAATCTAGATGAAGAAAGCCGGGCCATTTTCTCAGAGTCACTATCGCCAACGGTCATCCGCATGTTTCCAAACGTCTGCTGATTTTGTGACGGAAGAGTGAATAGAGCCTATTGAAAAGCCAGTAATTCAAATAATGAATAAACAATGGAAAGGTCTAGCATATCACTAGATAAGTATACATGAACAGACTGTGAAGCACTCTCAGATAATCTCGTGTAATCCATTTTTACAGTGCAATAGTCAGACCCATGTATTTCTATTGGATCCTGGTACGACATTGCTTTTGCGTTAACATTAGCTCAGTCTTTCTCTGTGTACTTGAGGTATTTGACATGTTTTGTTTTGTTATTTATTGTTCCGATGCACTGTACGTTTATGACCACTGGCAGTATGCTCATGTATTCAGCTTTTATTAATCTTTTTGAAAATCTTTTGTGTAATAAAACATTATAAAGTTGGTTAGTCTTCGTTCACTCAATGTACAGTAGTTTCTAACAGGAATGTAACAATAACCGAAATATCGTGATATCGTATCGTCAGACTTCTCACAATAATATCGAGGACCATCACAATATATCAAATTACAAGTCTGCTTAAATTAAGAGTTATGGTGCAGCAATAGCTAAAAAAAAATATGAAGGGAACTACATAGACCATGATCCTTTGCTCCATTTCAGTGTGGACTACAAGAAGAAATAACAGTTCTAAGCACTTTTAAGTCGTAATTCTTTAGATTAGGTCTTGTCAAGGCATTTTAAGAGGAAAAAGTAGCATATTCACAGTTTTGTATCACAATATCACAATAAATATCATACTGTGACATGTATATCGTGAAAATATCGTACCGAAAGATTTGGATATTGTTACATCCCTAATCGTGAGCTTTCCCACATAAGATTCATACCGTGACAATATCGTATTGTGAGACTTGGATATCGTTACACCCCTACTTTCTAATGTCATTTTTAACAAGATATTATTTCCCAAAGTAAAAATCTTTGTAAATATTTAAATGTAGGGACGCTGAATTGATACTTTGCTGCTGATTCAATGATCCCTGGGCTTATAACACTAACTGTAAACACTGCTCTCTCTGAGGTTTGTAAAGTCTGATCTTTATTTTAACATAATCTGACCTCAACTTGGTTTATTTGCAACTACAACAGGTGAGATTATTTGTGTTGTCAAACAAGTCTTAAGCCTTATTTGCACCGGATAAGTACAACCTGGAGATGTCTGGTAATTTGCAAATTACCACCCCACCTCTGTGTAACTTACAGTGCATTCACACTGGTTAAGCAAAAGTCCATAAATTTTACTGACAAGAGAATGAAAGAGAAAAGAACGTAGAAAGCAAACAAAGAGATAGAAAAGGCACGCAGTTACAACAACAAACTCTGAGACTAGTATTCTCACTGGACGTCTGTGTTGGCCGAAATAAAGTAGGTAATTTGCTTTTGAATTTTTACTTTACAAATTACAGACATGGTGCATTCGCACGGGATTTAGATCTCAGGCGTCCTCCGCAATTATTACAAATCACCAAAGGTCCACAGGTAATACTAATCCTGTGTGAATAGGGCTTTACACACCTTTTTGTTGAAAATCAAACACCTCAGGCTCCTGAAAATGTGCTGTTTAAATCCATTTTTGTATTTGTATTCTTGAGTTTTCAGATGATCTTAAAACGTACCACTGTTTGCTCATTTGCATGCAACGTGTCTCCACGGTAACCGCTGAACATTTCACCGCAGACATGCATGCAATACACTCCCAGTGTGACGTCACTGCAAAGTATCAATATGCAACATTCAGTAAGTTAATTAAGTTGAATGACGGTGGAATGCTCCAGGAGAAGCAACAACTGGCAGATCCTCATTAGAAAAGTTACACAGTGTACCTTTAAATGTCTGATCACAGATTTTAAAATCTTTAAATATTTATTTATTTGACTTTTGTATTTGTGTTTGACAGAAAGGAAAGACCAGAAGATCTCAAACTAACTAGGGGTAGACAAACTTTTTGACTTGTGGGCCACAAAGGGTTCTAAAATTTGATGGAAGGGCTGGACCAGGAGCAGATGGATGGAGTTTTTTGGTAATCCAGCTCGTAAGAGAAAAAAATATCCCATGTTATTGAAATATCCCATAATTGAAAATCATTACAAAGCATTACAACAAAATATCTGTCTTTTATCTCCCACGTTATTTACTATTTATTGAAATGCCTTTTAAAGCATTGAAAATTATCATTATTATTATTATTCAAATTCGAAAGGCCGGATAAAAAAGATTAAAGGGCCACATATGGCCCCCGGGCCTTAGTTTACCCACCCCGAATTAACCTTATTAAATCCTGGAATGTTCCACAGTGTGACATTTAAGTCATTTATCTCCAACACCTGGCCAAGTCACAGGTCAAATCTATGGAATTGTTTGACAATAAAACCAAGTGCAATAAAAAATAAGACAAAATGTTAACTGCCATACTGTGGAACATTTCTGGCACCAGACACTCCACCAGAAAAGTTTCACAGAGCACCATTAATGTCAGATTTGTGGAGCAATAATGAAACGAAGACAAATGTTTGACCTTCTCTCCTCTGTTTTTTTTTTTCCTCCACACGATACCGAGCCAATCCAATTTCCCCTCCGCTCAAATTAGGTTCACCCAAATTTTAATCAAATCTCGCAAAGTATGTAATGACCTTGAAGGAGGGAGAGAGAAAGAGGGAAGGAAGGGGGAGACGGAGGGAGAGAAAAAAAGAGGAGGGGGCAAATGAGCGAGGGGAGGAAGGAGGGACAGAGAAGGGGATGAGAGGAAGAGGGGGAAATTGAGGGAGGGAGAGAACTGGGAAAAGAACACAAGAAATCAAGGAACTATGATTTCTTTTGTTCAGAATACCATTGTCAGAACAGAAGCATAGAAAATCTGATACTAACCGATATTTAAACTAATATCAAAACTGCACTGCAAAAAACAAAATCTAGTCAAGTTAAGATGACTTTGATTAAGAAAGTGTCCTCGTGATCTGAGAACATTTCAGTTGACAAGTAAAATTATCTGCCAGTGGAACAAGACTTTCTACACTTAAAATAAGAAAAACAACAACTCAAGAAGAAAATGAATGTTGCTTAAATGAAGAAAAACTTACTCATTCCATTAGTAGATAATTTGACTTGTCAAGTTGAATCTACTCAAATAAAGTCAAATGTTCTTAATTAAAGTCATTTTAACTTACCTAGATGTTGTTTTTTTTCAGTGTGGACCTAAATTGGACCTTTCTTGACAATGATCTGTATCAGAATAAGTATAAAACCACATGTTAAGATAGAGTAAAAAGCTGTTATTTTGTGTTAGAAATGTACAATATTTTAAAAGAGCTTTTAAAATGATCATTTGGGTATCAAAATTTGGGATGGAGTATATTAGTTAGTATTGAAATCGAGAATTTTAGAATCGTGACAGCAGTAAAGCAAAATGGATTGTCTTTAATGGGCCCATATTATGCTTTTTCTAGTCTATGTTAAAATGTTGTTTCCTCATCACAAACAGACCTGGAGTTGTGTTTTACTTCATTCACACGTTTAACACACATCCTGCATATTTAGTTTATATTTAGTATTTCGTTCTTCTCTCAAACAAACAGAAAACACCCTGTTCCTCCTCATGATGTCATGTGGTAATACAGGAAGCAAAGGTGGGACCAAGTCATTGTTTTGCAAGTCTCAAGTAAGTCTTGAGTCTTTCACCTCAAGTCCGAGTCAAGTCCCAAGTCAAAGACAGGCAAGTTCAAGTCGAGTCTTGAGTCACTGGCCCATAAGTCCAAGTCAAGTCCAAGTCGTCTGCTTTAAGCTTCAAATCATTTCAAATCTTTTAACCAAATACAGCTTTGATTTTTGCATTTCATGACTTTTAAACTAAATAGTACTTAAAAAGTCATGGTATATTTATATATGAGTATTTATATAAGACTTGTAGAAATGCAATTTTTTCCTTTTTAAATATCTTGTCAAGAGAGTGAATCATTACGGTCAGAATAGAAAGAATTCAGATTTAAAAGTGATTAATAACAGTTATTTTGTCATGTAGTTTGCACTGAAATGGAAGGATCGTGTTCTATGTAGTTCCCTCT